AAATGGAAGGAACACATCACGTTTTTCTGCTGCTCACTGCAGTACCACGGTTGTGTCTAGGAGAAGCACTCGTATGATTATTTGCGACAGGAGTTGAATAAGCCCCTGTTTTTTTTCATGGAACACCATTTTCACTTGAAAGAATAAGTGACAAGCCATGGTTATTCAGACTTGGATATCTGGCACGTATTTTCTCAAAAGTGAACAAAGGGAAAGCCTGTCACTTCAGGAAAGGCAAATGGCAGCGTTTGTTGTCAGTGTGAAAATTGGAGCTTTCAAGTGGAAATTGGAATTTTGGGAAACTTCTACCTGCTACTGGGAGCTTGACAGCCTCCCAGTAGATGATGATTCTTCTCCTGACATCAGTGCTGATGTTAACAGATGTGACTTTTGAATAGAATACGACTGATGAAGTTTGTTAAAAATTAGAAGATCTGCATAACAAGGTGCTTATATTTTACAAATTAATGCATCATGGTATAAAATTATACATGATTAGTTTAAACACCTATTCAAAAAATAAGAGATCAAGAGTTCATTGATACATTTTCATATTTCAGATCTGAAATGTAATAAACTGTCATTTGTAGAGTGATAGATGTGATATCACAGAATATTCACAATAACCTGAAAAGGCAAATAAAATAATAATGGAAATATGGATAATTTTTTCCATATAGTTAAATCTGAACAACATATTACATCAGATAGAACCCAGAAGCAGAAACAAGAGTCTGTATTCTATTAAGGGGAAGAGTAAAGAAATTTGCCTAAATATAAAGCAAATTCATTATTCTCACTAAATTCTTTCTTTTCGGATAATATGGTTATTTTCATTATCAATCTGTTGTTTATATAAACATGCAAATGGTTATTACTAAGTTAATTAAAGTTTGCATTATTAATTTTTAATATGGTATATAAGACTGGAAACCCCCCCCATAAACAAAAGTTCTTTGTGTTAATCAATAATTGTAAGTCCATAAAAAGATCCTGAAACCCAAATATTTGAAAACTACTGCTCTGGGGTCACTCTCTACCTGTCCACCCTTCCTATTGCCGCTGTCTTTCTAATCTTCAAATTGATCGTGCTACTCCTCATCCGTGGCTTACCTTAGTGTGCTGTACAGGACCCTTGGTGATCGATCCTGCCTTTCTTTCCAGGTTTGTGTCACACTACTCCCTTCTGTGCAGGGGTGTATCTATCCACAGTTAATGCATATATCTCGTCCCAGCCGTGCCCTTTCTTATCCCTGCATCCACACTTGTGCTGGCCACCTGCCTCCCCAGCATGTTTCTGCAGAAATGTCTTCCCACCACCCCTTTCCCAATGACCTCAGTCACCAACTCCCTATCAAATTGCAACTAGTCTACAAAATCTACTCTAACATCACTTCTTTGGGGAAATTTCCCTAAACTGTGTCTATCCTTCCCTCAGAAGAGTAAAGTTATCCCTTTTATAAACCTCAGGTGATAGTCAGCTTTATATAAATGTATTATAATTATATTTGTATAAACATTGGTCAATTCCCTTGGACTGTCAACTCCTTGAGAGAAAAGACCATGGCTGCCTCGTCCCAGCTCAGTGTTGTTACATAGAAGTCCTGAGTAAAGTATTTCCTGAATAAAAGATCTCAAGAGCCCGTCCAGATTTGACATTCTGTGGTTCATTCCTCAGTTAGAATTTATTGAGCCAAAGTCTTCTTTTGGATTGACAGAGAGATGTATTTGCTTTACTCACACATATTCAGACATAGGGTCTTTGGTTTGCAATCAAAGAGATTAGCTCCTCAAAAATTTTTTTCTTATTCTTTGTCCTTGCAAAGATAGTTCTAGAAAAAAATTGGTATGTTAAATTTTATTTATTTTAATTAATTGTAATACAGAAATGTTTGTTAATAATATATGTATATTCTACACCAAGACATCCATAAGAATTAATTTTTAAAGTCTGTTTTGATATGAATATTAAAATTATGTAAGAGCTTCACATAATAAGCTCACAAAGAATGAGAAAGAAAAGAAAAGAATTAGAACAGACTTGCCAAATAACTATAAAGAGGTTTGTAAACAGCAAAGCTGCAGGTGAAGCCACAAGAAATTCTAATCATTAGATTCTTTAATGTCTCCGCCTATCCAAATATCAGGTAAACTTTAATTTCCCTTGTAGTGGAAAAGCTGAGAGTCTGGCAATAGCTTGTCTTCTAGGACAGTGTGAGAATTTCAAAAAGACTGTTTCACTTTCTGTTGATCAAGATTCATGTTCTTTATTCTAGACCTTGATATGTAAACAAGAAAGTAAAGGATGATTTCTTTGTAAGTAAATTTTCATGAATTTGGAATAGCGACTTGTTTCATGTCCTCTCAAAGAATCAGAATAATCTGCGAAGATTATTGAGAAATTTCCAAGTTAGGTATTTTAAATCTAATTTTATTATGAAAATAGTTACTTGGAGACTTGACTTAAATAAAGTGCATGTATAATTGGTTATTTCTCTATGCCAAAGTATTGCCATCTCTCTGATGAGATGCTTTGATGACTCCGAGGCTGAGGTATATGTTAGTGGCAGACTCAGCACTAACCCAGATTCCCCATCGCAAGTGGAGTATGCTTTTCATTTCATTGTTAATAAGGAAACCAGGATCAGCCCAACAAAATGCTCAAGTACAAAAACAATGTTTTTTTCTCCCCTGAGAAAGCAGCCAGGTTTTATAGGATTTCCTGAAGACGTGTTTGTTATGCTGTTCCCCTTTCATCTAGCACCTGGGAAGAAGCAGACCATTCAATTTGTGACAGGTGACTCAAGACAGCTAGACTACCCATCTCTGGGTATTTAAGGCTGGCAAAAAATGCTCAAACTCTTTCTGCACTCAAACGTATGAAACCATACTGCCTAGAGTCGGACTGACAATGTGGCTGTCAAAACTTCACATAAGATGGAGGAACATAGTACTTTCATTTGTACTGCCTGCTTTAAATTTAGAAGGCACAAAATAAATGACTAGTAGATTTTTGAGTAAAATAGAATTTTTCTCGAATCTTCTGATTCATATACCACTTGGTGGAGAAAACAATGTCCAACAGAGTTCTTTTTCAGAATTAGTTGGCAAAATGGTATAACTTCTTGACAGGCCTGATAGTTTTTTTTATAGCTCATTTAGAATTTACCTTCACGGTAACAACTGATACAATGGCAATGTCACGTCACGAATACTAACTCAAAGAAAAGGCTCGGCTAATACTGAAAGCATTTTTTGTTATGAAACTAGTAAATCAGATATAAACTGAAAAATATATAGTGACCTGTATTATTTTTATGTTGTTAAAAGAACCGGTCTCTCATTGTGTGTAAACGGAAGAGAAAAATTTTCCCTTTTATAAAGTCAAGAGTCAAGTGTATCCATGTGGTGAACCACCAAGAGTTAGAAGGTCATTTAGGGATAAATTGCTATGGAAACGTGAATAAATGTGGGGGCAACAGGAGGTGTTGAGGATGGAGGAAATGTCACGGATGACTTTGATGATTATTTCAATACCATAGGTGTAGATTTCTCCTACAAGATGACGTATGTATTGGTTGGAATTTTTTATTGTAATTGTTTCCATTTTGTATCTTGGTTTTTAAAATATGATTTTTAGTATAATACAAAATAAAATAAATGTTGCTTAAATTTTTCAAAATGTATGTAGCTGCTGTCCAGTATTTGACAATTCTATCATATTTCTGGCAGATAGAATTTTATTCCCTTCCCTGGAAAACTGAGCAGGGCCATTCTACCTGTCTGCCTTCTCTCCTTTCCCAGCCCAGGGGCAGAATGCTCCCCGGAACTCTGAACTTCTCAGTTGTGAGGATGCCTGAAACCATAACAGAGGGAAAATGGCTAGAAAAACTGAAGATAATTTGATCGTGATGATTGATAATAAGATAACATTTACTAATTCCAGAAACTGCCCTAGACCCTTAACATACTTAACTCATTTGTTCCTTATAATAACCAGGAGTTCATTTCTCCCATTACCGTTTTATGGATGAACTCTGTAGCAATGAGGGGTTACACTGTCCAAGAACACACAGCTCAGGAGTGGCAGAGCCAGGGCTTAGGACAGAAGGAGTCTAGTGTCACAGTCCATGCTTCTAACCACTACACCAAATGGAAGACTCCAAAAGAATATTAAAATTGCTTTGGAATAGTTGAAGGGCAGCAGATCAGAAAAGGAAGTAGTAGACATATTCCATTGCCTCAGAAGGTGCCTCAGAAGGCTCCAAGGTGAAAAGTAGAGGAAGAGGGTTTGGTTTAATAACAGAAAGGAAACAGCAGAGATGGATGAATTCTCCTGGAGGCTGTGGCCTTTATGTCACTGCTGGTGATCACATCAGTTCTTTGGAGCAGCTGCTGTCAATGATGCTGACAACCAGAACAGGGGTTGGGTTTAGCAAAACTTCCTTTCCTATGCTGAGATTTTATGAGTCAGGAATGTATCATAGTAATTGTTACCAGTACTTCTTTAGTTGGGGAGTTAGAAAGTTGTGAGGAGGTGGAGAGGGACAGTAGGTCCATAAGCAATTTTATTGATAAATATTACTGACATTACTCTCACATTTGGCTCAAAGGTCTCAGAACAATCTTCTAAAATAATTTATTGACAAAATTATATATATTATCATGTAAACTATGATGTTTAAAAATACTGTACATTGTGAATGGCTAACTCATGCTAATGAATATTCAGAACTGACTTTTCAAGATATATAAATTTGTCTTATTGAAAATTACATTAAATGATAATGTTTCCAACTTAAAATTGGTCGTGGAGCACTAAAAGCATGAGTTAACGTTTATAGCTTTAAAAATCGCTAGACAACATTAAATGACGTTTTGGTTGATTTTCTTATTCCCTGTGTATCACTTGCTTTCTTAATTTTCATGCATGTTTTTCTGGTATCACAGGCAATTCTTATGCAAGAAGCTAAACGTAATTAAATGTGCAGGATGAAAAGATGGCACAGACACTGCTGGTACCCCCAGGACCCGAAAGCTTCCGCCTTTTTACTAGAGAATCTCTTGCTGCTATCGAAAAACGTGCTGCAGAAGAGAAAGCCAAGAAGCCCAAAAAAGAACAAGACGATGATGAGAACAAACCAAAGCCCAACAGTGACTTGGAAGCTGGGAAGAACCTTCCATTTATTTATGGAGACATTCCCCCAGAGATGGTGTCAGAGCCCCTGGAGGACCTGGACCCCTACTACATCAATAAGAAAGTGAGCATTGATTTCATACTTCCAATAGGTCTTTATTTAAACACCTTACTCCAGTATAATCTTCCGGGGCGTATATACATACTGCCACATCATTTTTCTCCTGTTAAATATTATATGATATTCTTCATTGTGACTCACTTTTAAGCACAATAAGACAAACAGAAACATTTATAAGAGATGCTGTCAAGAGTTGGCTACAGTGAGGAGGTATGAATAGGTAAACAATTTCTACAGTTTCACGGTAATTGAGATAAATAGTCAAAATTAAAATTGACATCAACAGAGTGAAATATTATGGCTGACAAAACAGGATGATCAACAGAATAACAGCTACGCAAAGGAAGGGTTACGAGCAGGGGCTGGGATTACTCTTTTAGTTCTTCTTTGACTTGAGGTTTCTTCACAGTAATTTTTATTCTAAAGGACTGTCAATAATCTTCTTCTTACCATCCTCCTATTAGCAGATAATGTGGAGAAGCAGGTTCACCCAGAGATAGTGGTTTTTTGTCCATTAACCTGAAATAGGATTAGAATCTTCTCTAAAGCCTCCTTAGTTTTCCCCACTAGATTCTGAAACACCTCCATTGTTAAAATATCACCCTAAGGAAAAAAGTCAAGATCAGAAGACCAGAACAAGACTTTGAGCTTCCCCATCTACAGATGTCTTAAGTCCACAATTATGACTGTGTTCCTAAAGCCAAAATGCCCACATAACTCTGTCAAAATTAGCTAATTTCTGTAGTTAAACCTCCTAGGTATTATTTTAAGAAAATATAAAAAACATATAGTAAACTTTCTGATTAGGTATTTTGGCATCTTATAACCATAATTTATGCTTTACATTCACAAGCATAAAAACCGTTCAATGTAGAAACTAAAGATAAATTAATATCACAGTGAGTTGATGGCTTATGGATTATAGAATATATAGAACACCTTTAGTAGTCAAAGCACACCCTTTTAAGAGATGGCTGAAGAAATTGCACTCTGTAAGCACTATACCATTTAACTTTATAAGATGAGTACTGAGTAAAGGGAATGGGATTGGCCCTGTTGTTCTAAAGGAGCACTTCTCAAACTTGCACATACATACACGTTACTTGAGGATCTCACTAAAATACAGATGCTGATTTCATAGCTCTGGGGTGGGGCCATAGATACTGCCTTTCTTAGGAGCCATCAGGTGGTAGCCATCCTAGGTTTAAGATCTTTTACTCAAAGCCATAAAAACAAATTACAACAGTTTAACAGGTTCTTTCTTTTACTCTTTTTAACTAGTTTCATCAAAGGTGCCATTTAATATATACAAAAGGTGACCCCCAAAGTATACACATTTTAATAAAGGAAAAAACAGTATTAAATTGTAATATTTAATTATAATTTCACTTCTACAATTACAAGAGACACAAGATATAATATACAAGATAACAAACGTTATCATTATACATTGGGTATTACAATTTTAATACTGTTTTTCCTGTCTGAAAATGTGTATACATTTTTTTTGGTATCCTCTGTAGCCATATATTTCAAAATAATTTATTTCCATATTTGACTATGGAACTGATAAAGGAAATTTTGAAGCTTAGTCATGATAATAAGACATCCCCAAGAAATTGAAAAACAAAATTGTCCCCTAAGAACTATTGATCTGAAGGATATATTTGCAAAGCTATCTTCAAGACAGGTGCATAATATGATGAAAAGTATTTGCTACTTATAGATGAGAAGTATCCTTAAGAAAGAGAATTGGCCATGGAGGCTCATGCCTATAATTCTAACACTCTGGAAGGTCGGGGTGGGTAGATCACTTAAGCTCAGGAGTTCAAGACTAGCCTGGGCAAGAGTGAGACCCGCATCTCTACTAAAAATAGAAAAACTAGCCAGGTATCATGACATGTACCTGTAGTCTCAGCTACTCAGGAGGCTGCGGCAAGAGGGTCACTTGAGCCCAAGAGTTTGAGGTTGCTATGAGCTACGATGTCACAGCACTCTACCCAGGGTGACAGTGTGAGACTCTATCTCAAAAAAAAAAAAAGAAAGAAAGAAAGAAAAGAAAGAGAATTGATCAGCCTGATATGATGGGGGGGGGGCAGGGGAGACTTAGGGACAACCTTAGTGTTTTTCAAGGGAGGCGGGTCTTTAGTAGTAGCCCTGAAACCTTTTTCCTCCCAATGACAAGGCTACATAGGGTTGCCTAACAGATGCGGTTAAACGTTCTGTATCATTTGATTAAGTCAGCTGGCTGGGGCTCCACACTCAGCAAGGAGCCTTCTGATTATAATTTGTTTTCCCATAGATTTGCTTAAAGGAAAGAATGTGCTGGTTACGCCATTGCAATTACTTCAGTCCATGTGAAAGTAATATACTTCATTACAAGTAAATAGATTGGCATTCTGATTTTACAAGCCAGGCTTTCAAGTTTGCTTAATGTGAATCTGCCGCTAGGAAGCAAAATTGTCCTTTGTTGTTGACACAGTCAGTTTTTATTGCCTACATGGCTGAGAGCCAGATTTGGACCCTTATTTATTCTTAGTGGCCATGAGCCATCTTAGTAGACATCTAGCCAGCCTCTGTAGTGTTGGCTGACTGCTTTCCTTTGTGAAGTGCCTATAACGATGAAGACTGAGTTGCTATAAAGATATAGGTAATTTGTAATTCTTAGGAGTAATGGAAGAGTTAATGGAAGAAGTTCTGGAATTGAAAAACAGGTTATGCAGCTAAGTTAATTATAAGAAATAATGCAGGTAAAAGGTACTTAAAAACTATAAAACACTATGTAACTCTTTGCTGTTATTAGTTAGCGATAACGTTTTAAATACCTAATTTAACTAAATGCGAACATCACAATGCAATTTCAGAGGCACACTAGTTGACCAGAGTAACAGCTTAAGAATAGTGAAAGTGATAATGAGAGCTCACATGTGCTGTGCTCTGCTGTGTCAAACACTGGCTTGAGTGCTTTAACTCATTTACTATGCGGGGAACCAGATATTCTAGTTAGCCTCAGTTTACCAGTGGGGAAGTGAAGCTGAGAGGTTAAAGTCACTTGCCCAAGGTCACAAACCAAAAGGAGCAGTTACAAGATCCGATCTACCATTAACCAAGTGCAGTCTCTGGAAAATGGTTAGTTAAGTAATGGTTGGCTCTGTGCACTTAAATACAAAAGGGAAATGAACAGAGAAATTGGTTTCCCTGCCCTTTATACTGACAGTATAATTATTTCTGTCTACCTATTCAAACAGAGCATGTTGTCACTGAACATAAATTTATGAATATAGGCCATAGTTAAAGGGGAAAACATATTATTAAGGAAATGGTTATATAGATGTCTTAAAGGTAAATGATAATTTTAAGGTAAACCCATATTTAATTACAAGTGTTTATTTGCAAACCACACTATTAAATACTGTGAAAAAATGGAGCAAAAGTAGATTACAGGCTCTGTAGGCGCAATGGTTTTTATAACTACCTCTAACCTAGTCCTCCCTGGATTGAATACTACATGGGAATTGCTGCTTGACTATAATTACAAGCAACATGAAAAAGGGTAGAAATTAATATACTATGGCTTACTAGGAAAGGGAAACAATTAGGGAGTGATCCGGAGGTAGTGCGATTTATCTGGAGAAACACGATGAAGGCGGCGATTTTGAACATTCCCAGGGAACACGGATTTTCAACCGTGACTGCCTATTAGAATCACATGAGGAATATTTTTTAGTACCCAAGTCCATGTCCATCCCCCCCAAATTTTATTCAGTTGGTCTGAGGTGGACTTAAATATTAGCAATTTTAAAATCTCTCTGGGACCTGCTAATAGGCAGGCAGGATTAAGGACCTCTGACATAAGAGAAAATCAGCATAGGTGGGAATTATTATCAGGTCTGTTGGACACATTTCCCTGAAATGGGAGGGAGTTTGCCTTCAATGACCTCTCAGGCGCCACTTTCCTTCAGGATTCTATGACATTCTCAGAGGCAGGGGCAGGGTCTTGCAGATTAAGAGTGGGATTGACAGGCATATAGAATTGGCTGGAACGCAGATAACTCTGGTGAGAAATAAAAGATGATTCTAGAGAAAGGTGGTAGGTAATTGTGGGGCAGCATAGCTACTGCCCAGGGGGTGATTATAGGTTTGGGATCATAGGATTTTAGCTATGCAATGCCCTTTGTAGTGCTGTTTTTTAGACTAATTTTCAGCGCAAATTGTTCCTCAGTCTAGGCTGAGATGTTGATCCCTTCTCAGCCAATCTATTGAATCAGAAAAAATCCAGGTTATTCAATCTGTTTGAGCATTTTAAACGACTACAAGAACAATAGGGAGCCACCATAAACTTTGGAGTTAGAGGACTCGATGTAATTAAAATATTTATAAATTATTTTCGCAGCAGTGTGTACAGAATAATCTGAAAAGTTACCAACGCTGAAGACAGATGGTGAGCTTTAAATAGAATTGGAATCTGTAAAACTACCTTACAATTTGGTAAAAAAATTTGTGTAGGATTATCAGTGTGGATCAGCAAGCTGGAGTCTTCGAGACAGATGAGATAATAGTAAATTGTACCTTTATTTGTAACTATCTGTTAATTTAGAGGAGAAACACCTAACTTGTTTGTAATTATGATATGTCAACTAGTTTAAAGAAGTTTGAAAAAAAGCAGATTTTCTAAAAAAAAAAAAAACTTCATGTATGTAAGCTACTCAAACAAAACACATGTCTAATTTCATAATTTATTTCTCCTATTTTCTCTTTCAGACTTTTATAGTATTGAATAAAGGGAAGGCAATTTTCCGATTCAGTGCCACCTCTGCCTTGTATATTTTAACTCCACTAAACCCCGTTAGGAAAATTGCTATTAAGATTTTGGTACATTCATATCCTTTTTATGTGACTTGTTCAAATGCAATTTCTACTGGTCAATTTTAAGGAAAATGTCATTCATATTTTAAAATATTTATAAAATTTATTTCAGATTCGTGGCAACTTGATTAGTTTAATTTGTTTGTTCTCATTAGCCTTCTGGAGTTTATAACCAGATTATCACAGAATGACTATTATGATTCTAGAAGAAAATATGCAGCTATGATAATGAATATGTAAGTGAAATGCATTGTATGGAAGGAACAAAAGCAAAACCCCTTACACTTCTATTAACTTTAATTAGAGCATCTATAATCATTGCTAAAGAAACATGGTTTACCATGGTTAGTATTGCTGTCTGTATTACCAAGTGTTCAAACTTGTGTCTACCACTGTGTCTTCAGCAGTGGGATTCGCCCTCCCTCCCTTCCTTCCAAATCTATGAAATTCATACTAAATGCCTGTGTACCTGGTTCTAGATGGGTCAAAAGGTTGAACTTAAAACTTAACGTACAATGATAACAAAAAAGTATATATAAAAAGACTGAATAGGTATTGAGTTCAAAAAAATTCTCAAGTAATGAGAAAGTAGAAAGATAACTTTCTGAGGCAGCATTCAAGAATGGGCATTTGGGGCTCTGTGCCTATAGCTCAGCGGCTCAGGTCCCGGCCACACACACCGGGGCTGGCAGGTTCCAACCCAGTCCAGGCCTGTCAAACAACAATGACAACTACAAAAAAAAAAAAAAATGACAAGTACAACAAAAAATATAGCTGGTCATTGTGACTACTTGGGAAGCTGAGGCAAGAGAATTGCTTAAGCCCAAGAGTTTGGGGTTTCTGTGAGCTGTGACACCACAGTGCTCTACCCAGGGCAACATAGTGAGACTCTGTCTCAAAATAAATAAATAAATAAATAAATAAATAAATAAATAAAAGAATGGGCATTTTATATAGACATATTCCAAACAAACTAAACGCCTAATCAACCTGGAGGCATGGGACTGATAACTTTTTGAAGAGCATTCGAATTCTCTAATTCAATGTCTTAATGTCAGAAAGTATTTATATTTTCAAATAAAAGGTTTGAAATCACAAATAAACTTCCGAACAGTTGAAGTCTGGATTGAGATCCCAAGAGCAATTAGTACAGGTTTTTGTCAGGAGAGTTTCAGCAGACTGCCTATTTTGGCAGAACCCCAAATGCCCATTCTTGAATGCTGCTTAGAACGTTACCTTTCTAGTTTCTCATTACTTGAGAATTTTCTGGAACTCAATACCTATTCTGTCCTTTTATATGTACTTTTTTGTTATCATTGTACATTAACTTTTAAGGTACCCGCTAACCTTCTGTTTAGGTATGATATGGACTAGATACAGGAAGATAGCTAAATGCTTTACTGGGTTCTCCTGCAGTCTAGTAAAAATTAAAAATAATGTGCTTTATCAGCATATCTACCTTTATTATGTATCATCTCCCTTCTGTGTAGTAAACTATAATAGAACTAATTACATCCCTATAAAGATGCTAGAGTATTTACAATAGAATTCTCAATCCACGTAATCTTTGAATTTACCAGGCTATACATCCTCAGGCTTTTTATACTGTATCCACTAACCTTTTGTAAGTCAGCAGAAATTTTAAATTATATTTGAAATATAATCTTGCTCACCCCTCATCCTATAAACCTACTAAAGAATGGTGAGTTGACCTTAGAATGCAATTTTATACAACTGATTAGAATGTAAAACAATTCCTACTTGTTTCTCATAAGGATTGCTTTCTATTAAATTCAGTTCTGTTAGCATATGAGGTAAAATTAAGAAACTGAACAAAGATGATGTAGCAGCCTTTGAAGTTTCTTATTATTTTTACTATTGTTGTAAAACAAATAAGATTAATTTTACAGTTAACTTGTGTTGGGTTTTTTTTTTCTTTTTTTTGTATATTGGATCATATGTAAATTGCTATGGTAACATACTAACATTTTTTCCTTAACTATAATCTACTTTATTCAGCATGCTTATCATGTGCACTATTTTGACCAACTGTGTATTTATGACCTTGAGTAACCCTCCAGACTGGACAAAGAATGTAGAGTAAGTAGGAATAACTTCTTGGAATCGGAAATGCACACTCAAGTTCTCTAGCAACCTCCTGGGGTTTGGTCTGACTTACGGTTTCCACTTTTGGAAGTCAGGCTAAACGTTTCTAAGAAAAAGTTATTTCTATAACACAAAAGAAGATTAGGGAAGTTCTTTGGGGGAGTTTTCCTTCTAATTTTCATAATATGAAAGAAGATACAGGGAGTCCCTTGGGGGAATTTTTCGTCTATGAGGTAAGTATTTTTCAAACAAATTCATGGTGTGTCTATTTAAGAGAGGTTGTAAATTACTATACACTTGCTGATAATCAGATATAATCATGGATCCTGAAGTTATGTCTCAATCATAGTTAAGCATGTGAAGTAAAATGCAATGACTTCACAAACTGGGTTTTATCTGATAGGAAAAAGAATTTTAAAATATGGTGATAAAGTAATTTGATGAATAAAATTATTTTATGCTAATCCATTGCTATTATTGTGATAATCTAGTTAAATAGATTGAGGTTTTAGTATTACATGAATAGATATTTTGGTTACATGCTATTGTATTTAGGAAAAATGCATTTAAGTAGTTATGTTAAGTAACTCAGGTATTTTGGATGTCTAAGTCATATTTATTTAGTGTGTAGCTTGTTTAGATACAACCTGTGTGCTAAGACACTTTAGATGTGTTCTGTAAAAGGAATGAAATGTCTTTGCAAAACTGAGCTGAAAAAAATCACAGGAGTTAAGGGAAAAGCAGAACTAGGGGCAGACCACTCAAAACTTACAAAACTTACAGCAATTCAAATAAAAAGATGCCCAGTTGAGTCTTTTCTGACAGTTGCATCTAAAATCACAGCATCCTTTAACGTCTCAGATCCTGGGCTTCATCCTTTGTCCCTTGAGATGAAGACCATGAGCAATTGGATGACATCACCAAAATAAAATGCTTCATTCCCTATTTTCACATAGGGGGAAAGAGCAAAGCACAGTCATTCAGGACGCTTAGTCCCTAGCTGCACTGAAAGCACACACTTCGATGACTTTCTGCATTAGTATTAAGGTGTTTTTCTTTTCATTGCAAAGAATTTTCTATTTAAGTGTGAGGGAAGAACACCCCTCATTGTTTCAGAACATCAACATGCAGGGAAAAATTGTGCATAAGCTAATGTGATTTCCACATCAGGATATTACTTTCTTATTTGTCAGTCACATCAGAGGATATTTGTGTCAAAGAAACATGCTTTTCAATAAAAGAAAGTGTTTAATGTATAGACTATTTATTGAGAGTATAATGCAAGGATTAGGTATTCGGTTAAGTAATGAAAATTGATATGCTCTTTTCATTGTTACTTTTTTTAAAAAACGTAAAATAGGAGATAAGATAGTATAACAAATATTGCCACTTTTTTACTTGTTTTTATAGATTTCTATATCGATTTACTGTACCATTCTAAACCATTAGTGATTTAACATTTTTTATATATTAGAAAAAATTAACTAGCAATTGGAGACTGGGTCCTGGACATTGTAGCGGAGAACCCAGTTCTTGCGTTGGGGCAGGCCATTTAATAGAACTCTCTTATGTATGATTTTGAACTTAACAAAATGGACATACCTCTATAAAACGATTCTGTAGCTGCTCTTTCTAGCAGAAATTATGGAAGCTTTTAAATGTGTATCAGTTTTATTTATTTGTATAATGTTATTGAAAGATAGGTAAAGAAGATGAATGAATACATAGGCTTCTTTTTTAAAAGAAGGTAACCAACTGGTAGATGATTATACATGTTATGAAACACTCTTACCTTTGCAAAAGCGTTTATCTTCCATCTTCCAGGTGGAAAACTTTGCACAGGTTTCATGATCAAATATGTTTAGTAACATGAAAGCAAGATAGCAGGAAAAGGAGCAAAATAGTGTAGTAGTGGTTACTGGCAAAAAAAAAAAAAATTAAAAACAGAGTTCAATGAGAAGAGAAGAGAATTCACTTCTGAGATGAAAAGACAAGCCATTGATGTCAGAAACAGTACAAGGATGTGGCATACACAGCATTGGCCTGGGGACCAGATGATGTAGTGGGAGGAGCATTGTGTAAGGCAAGATACTTCTGTCGACATCAAAGTTACAGGAGCAAAAACCCTTGACCTCTACAGAATGGACAGCATGACTCAGAGACTAATGGAAGCAAAGCCGACGAACACCAAGGTCCCCTCATTCCGACTTCCCTGTCCAATCTGGTTGCTAGCAAGCACATTTGAGTACCTCTCTGTGGACCTCTGTCTCTGATGTCAAGTTCTAGGACTCTCTTCTGTGGGCAGCTGTCAGTACTTACCATACATTCTGAATGTTCCCATATATTTTCTTACCTTCCAAAAACAAGAACAGAAGTAATATTACTCCTGGTAACTCTAGACATAGATAATAGATTTGCCCCAGCACAAACCACCGGACACTAAGCATTAATACGATAAATACAACATGTATGTTCTGTTACCTGCTATCTCTCTGAAGAGGAATGCCATGGTGATCATACATATTACAAAAAGATAAAAATTAAACATAAACATCAGCATGGTGTTGTTAAATATATCTCTTCCTAAGAATCTTCTATTTCATAACAAGTGAAAATGGCAGTTGTATTTACTACTCGTGAAATTATTGCATTTCTGGGAGGAGAGAAGAGGGAAATGTGCTTAGGAAAAGTCGATGTGACGATCTCTGTATACATTTTCCTTGATTTCCTTGTTCCCTCATATGAGAGAAATTTCTATAGAAAACACTTCAAGAGGGTGGTGCCTGTGGCTCAAAGGAGTAGGGTGCCTGCCCCATATGCTGGAGGTGGTGAGTTCAAAACCCAGCCCCAGCCAAAAAAAAAAAAAAAAAAAAGAAAACACTTTAAGAATAGCAATCCAAACATTTTTCACAGAGAAAACACGGGCAGGCTGTACTATGTAGGAGTAACGTAATAAGACTAAATCAAATCTTTGGGGCTTGAGTGAGTGCTCTGAAAAATAAACTTAAATTACACTTTTAGAGAACACAGTGTTGAAAAACAAGTACTAAACTTTGGAAGAAACAGAAACCAAAATAACTTACATTGTCAACACTCACCAAAAAAAAAAAAAGAGAGAGCGAGAGACTGGAGGCTAGAAACGCACCACATGGAACAGCACACAGAGAAGTCTTCCGCCATTGTGGAGCTTCCAATGTAAATGTGATCCGAGTTTAAATAACTGGGCACAATTGCATAGAGACAGTCGCTGATCCCAGGTTAGGCTTAAGAATTTTGTTTATCCTTGAATTTTGGCAATTGTGCAAATATGCATAAAATATTAGTGAATCGAAGTGTTTCTTGTGATTTTATTGATTCATACACATATCTATACATTACACACACACGCTTATACAGGAGGTGTCCCCCAAAGTATCTTTATTTTAAGAAAGGAAAAAACTGTATTCAATTTGTATTACTCAAGTCATGCCTGAGTTCTATAATTACAAGAGGTGCTCAGCGGGACTTGAACACATCTCCTTTGATCAGTGTATATTGAGTATTTCAATGTTAATATGGTTTTTTTCTTTCCTAAAATGTGCATTGGCACCACCTGTGTATAGAGAGCGATACAGAGACAGAGGGATGAGGGAAGAGAAAGAGACAGAAACAGTGAAGCAGTTTGTAACTTTGTGCCTCACTCCTATGGATCAAAAAAGAAAAATATATTTCCTGTATTAGGCAAGTAAAATAGCCTTAAAATGAATCTAATACTTAAGAAACTTGAATACAATATTTTATTATTTAAATAAGTGAATCCAAGTTGTTTTGCCTCTAAAGTTGTATGGTCCATTGAAGAAGGTACTAGCCACATCTAGCTACAGACACTTGAAATTTGGAGAGCTGGCTTTGTGGCTAATTGTTGAAATTAGCGTGTTTTGGATATATCGTTTAAATAAAATATAATGTAAAATTATACTTGCTTGCTCCTTATTTTTTATGTACTATCAGAAATTTGAATATTACACTTGTGTCTTGGATTGTATTTCTACGGGACACTGCCAGTCCAGAGGGTCAAGTTTGATGATTATCCAGAAATAAATGAAACTATTATTCTAGCCTTTAAATAGTTAAAAAGAAGCAGATTCCTAGAGAATATATGTTCTCTTCAGTTTAACCTTTTACTCAGGCTATAAGATTCATTAAAGGACTAATTTCTTTGGCAGGCAGAAGTAAGGAACAAAGATTTTAGTGGATTGAAAAACCACATCGTATAGGATTTGCTATGCTTGAAAACATCCTGCTTTAACAGTACAAATGAAATTGTTAATTTGGGCTTGGATGCTTTTCCCAGGTACACATTCACGGGAATCTATACCTTTGAGTCACTTATAAAAATCTTGGCAAGAGGGTTTTGCTTAGAAGATTTTACATTCCTTCGTGACCCATGGAACTGGCTGGATTTCAGTGTCATTGTGATGGCGTGAGTAATTTTCAAAATTTGATAGGCTCAAAGAATGAAAATAGTCACAGTATAAACCAGGTTGTTATGACATATTTTAAATGTAAAGCTTTCTGGTTAGTCCTATTAACTATATGCATCATATATTTTTAGAATACGTATTAGAATGCATATTGCAAGGTAAATGTATCTGGTAAATAAACAATCAATGAGATTACTTCCATTCATATAGTCTTTCTCGTCATACCTATTCATTGACTACAATGTAACAGCAACAACTGTAATTTGATGAGTTTTGCAAACTAGTGTTTTCATATTAGTGAGATTTGCATTGTAAGAATGCAACAAAAGTTGGTTTCTTAAAAGCAATTTTCAGCATATGGCACCCCAAGGTCGATATCAATTTCCTTTGTTAAACTGAAGGGGCTCTATGTGCCATATCCAGCATTAATTCCTTATTTAGTATAAACTTTGCCAAAACTATCAGTAACTCTGATTTAATTCTGCAGGTATGTAACAGAATTTGTAAGCCTAGGCAATGTTTCAGCCCTTCGAACTTTCAGAGTCTTGCGAGCTCTGAAAACTATTTCTGTAATTCCAGGTAAGAAGAAACTGGTGCAAGGTGGTAGGCCCCTTATATCTCCAACTGTTCTTGTGTTCTGTCATTGTGTTTGTGTGTGAACTCCCCTATTACAGATATGTGACAGAGTTTGTGGACCTGGGCAATGTCTCAGCGTTGAGAACATTCAGAGTTCTCCGAGCATTGAAAACAATTTCAGTCATTCCAGGTGAGAGCTAGGTTAAACACCGAGGTTGACTTTAATTATTGAATTTGAAATCAATGTATAATCACTTACGGAATTAGCCACGTTGCTTTTTATTCTTGTTCATTACATTTCAAGAACACCAAATGATTTTCTATGTCAGTTCAGTTTCTGAAATTTGAGAAATTACATGCTTATTTATAAAGTCAGCCTTTGAGTTTAACGGGAGATTGCATGAGGCACCTATTAAAAATACTAATTGTGCTCTCTCTCCTTGTTTCGTTGTTTTTTTTTTTTTCCTTTTGCTACCATGGCTTTACTAACTGATTTGGACTTTACCATTCACTGTGGATCTATTTCAAAAAATAGATCTCCTTTTATATATACATATTTAAAAAAGGAGAAAAGATCGTCATTGAATAGCATGCATATGGCATGGGATTTTTATTACCTTAAACTTGTTTTCTCCTGTAAATTACTGCTAGTTGAAGGCTAGTATAAAGAATGGATGAAGCCTCATGAAACATAAAATCCGAAGTAAAAAATAACTGCGAGTTTGTCTGTACATAGTCATTCAGCACATGAAACCACACAAACAAAAACTTCCTGCCTCCTTGTTTAAACTTTCATATTGAACTTCCAGAAAGCACATTATTCAATCATAAAGTCTTCTCTGCTTTTGCTTTCCAAACCATCAGGCTATTCATGCAGCTTTGGTGTCTAACCAGCCAAAGAATTGTTTGTAGAGGAAAGAGAATGTGTGTTACTATTAAGAAAAATAACCGTGGTCTCTGACACTCTTCCTTAGTTGACCTGTAGTTCTTTCCATTCAGGTTTAAAGACCATTGTGGGGGCCCTGATCCAGTCGGTGAAGAAGCTCTCTGACGTCATGATCCTGACTGTGTTCTGTCTGAGCGTGTTTGCGCTGATTGGGCTGCAGCTGTTTATGGGCAACCTGAGGAATAAATGTTTACAATGGCCCCCAAACGATTCTGCTTTTGAAACCAACACCACTTCCTACTTTAATGGCACAACGGATTCAAATGGGACATTTGTCAATATAACATTGAGAACATTTAACTGGAAGGATTACATTGGAGATGAGAGTAAGAACGATTGCCACATTACATTAACCTTAGTGGTGTTGTGTTGTTGAACTGAGTTTTCAACTATAATAGTTGATGGTGGGTGTGAAACCACCTTTGTAAATGTGCTTTATTGATGTCCACTTTGGAAATAACTGAGATAGTTGAACTCTGATTTAGCCCTAAGGTGAACAGATGTAATATGAAATAAAATGATTTGTTCTTTGCCTTAACAGGTCACTTTTATGTTTTGGAAGGACAAAATGACCCTTTACTCTGTGGAAATGGCTCAGATGCAGGGTAAGGAACTCAAATAATTTTTTAAGATGTAGAACTCTATGCAAAAAAAGTAGGCAAGAAAACAAGTACACATGTATATGGAGAGTGATGCTGCCTCCCTGGGAAGGGCTTCCTCTGACTTACTGGATTGCCGTTGGTCCTAAGGCTGCAGTCATTAAAACTATTGCTTTGTAAAGAAAACAAAAACCAAACAAACAAAAATATCCCTTTGTGAAGATCTTTCCCTAGAATTTCACAGTTAGGATGTACTTAATTTATTGCTCAATGTGGAAAGGTCCATTATCTCTCTTTTTTGTAAAACCATCTGAGATCTTTAGAAAATATAGGAAAAGAACACAAAGTAGACTCATTTTTATTGGTGTGGGCATATATTGATGAGATGATTTTTGTTATGACTGAAAAAGATCCAGAATATAACATGGTTTTAAGGGATCCAGCCCACCTGGGAAACTGCTTTGAAAGATTTGGATATGCTTGAAATAGCATGAATGCCATTTACAAAGAAGCCAAGGGTACATGTATGCCAAAGGCATGGCTAAATCTGAGTCTGCATACCTGTAAGTTCTTTTCAGTCACATTCTACAATAAGGGTTGTAATATCTTATTAATTCTACTAGTCTCTCACCCCAAATGTGTTTTCCCAAGATTATTTTAAGTTAATTTTTTTTTTTTTGCTATCTTCCACTGAAGAATTTTTTTCTTTTCTTTTCTTTCTTTCTTTCTTTTTTTTTTTTTAATTGTCTGGGGTTCATTAAGGGTCCAAAGAAATAGATTATACTGATTGCATTTTTTAGGTAAAGTCCCTCTTTTTTTCTTTTTCTTTTTTTTGTTTTTGGTTTTGCTTTGTTTTGTTTTTTGAGGCAGAGTCTCACTATGTTGCCTTCAGTAGAAGGCTGTGGCATTACAGCTCACAGCAACCTCAAACTTTCTGCTCAAGCGATTCTCTTGCCTCAGCCTCCTGAGTAGCTAAGACTATAATCGCCCACCACAAGGTTGGCTATTTTTTGGTTGCAGTTGTCATTGTTGTTTATCAGGCCCAGGCTAGACTCAAACCTGCCACCCTCGGTGTCCCTCTTATAACTGTGTTTAAGTGAATTTTAAATCAAGGCAGACAGAAAATATTTTAAAAGCCAAAGGTAAGCAATTGTAAGTGAATCTTAGGCCATAGAGCTTAATTGTATTTTAAATCATACCAGAACATAAGAAACTGGTGTGGCCATAAAAACCTAAGAGTGTTAATGAAAGTGCATACTAGCCATATAGATAGAACTATAGGGAAATTATTTCCTAGGAGTTTTCCCCTTTTCTTACATGAGTGTAGTGGGTAAGAGCATAGGTTCTAGAATTCATGTATAACTGGGTTCAAATCCGAATTCTACCATTTGTAAAGTCTGACCTTGGAAAAGTATCTCTATACCTGAGTTTACTCATGTGTAAAAAGGGATGGAAGTAATATTATCTGTCTCCTAGCATTGTGATGATTAATTATTAATACTCATAAAGCATTTTTGCTAATACATACTCAATCATAAGAATTTATTGCAAGTTAACTATTATTTGTATTATTACAGCTACCATGAAAGTCCAAATAAATTTTTGATAAATTTAGTTACAATGCATACTTTATTCCTATTGAAGTCTAATAATCATTTACCTTTAATGAGAACCTCCCATGGGTCAAGTAATTTACATGGAAAAATTAATAGCCTTCTAATGTTGAATGTCAAGTACAATTCTACCCAAATTCAAGACTTATTACAGTAGTATAGTAATCAAGACAGCACGGTACTGGTGAAAGAACTATTATGTAGATCAATGAAACAGAACCAAGAACCCAAAAATAGACTCTTAAATATAATCAACTAATTTTTGACAAAGAAGCAAATGCAATTTAATGATGAAATAAAAGTCTTTCAGCAAATTGTGCTGGAACAATTGGTGATTCATATGCAAGTAAAAGAACCTAGATCCATATCTTATACCTTATACAATAATTAACTCAAAATAGATCATACACCTAAATGTCAAAACAAAACTTCTTTAAGAAAACATATGATAAAATCTATATAACTTTGAGTTTGGTGAGGAGATTTTAAGACAAAACCAATTGACTATACCAGGGAAAAAAATAATAAGTTGGATTTTATTAAATTATAAACCTCTGCTCTACAAAAACACTCTGAAAAGAATGAAAAGCAATCCACAGACTGGGCTTTTAAAATGCAACAACAAATCTACTATGAGTAGAGTATAAATGTCTTAACACAGTAAATAAGTAAGTGAGGTGAACGTTATGTTAACCAGCTTGATGTAAACACTCCAAATTGTATATTAAATCAGCACGTTATACCACATAAATGCATTGATGTACTCAGTTATGATTTAATAAGAAAAAATAATAAAATGCAACACTAGGATAACAAATGATCCAATTTAAAACTGGCAAAAGAATACGAACAGATACCTCAAAGAGTATATAGCACAGTAGCTAATAAGGACATAAAAAGATGCTCAACATCGTCTGTCCTTAGGGAACTGCAAATTAAAATGATGAGTCACCGCTATACATTTATTAGAATGACTAAATCCAGAAAAACAGGCAGCGCCAACTTCTGGTGGGGATATGGAACAGCAGGCACTCTTCTTCATTGCTAGAGAAAGTGCAAGATGCTGTAGCCACTTTGGAAGAGAGTTTAGCACTTTCTTACAAAATAAACCTAGTCTTATCATATGATCCAACAATTAGACTACTAGGTATTTCACTAACTAATTTGAAAACGTAACTCCTTGGAAACTTAAGTCAGCACAAATACTGGCATGTGAATATTCATAACCACCAGAAACTGGAAGCAACCAAGATGTCCTTCAATAGGTGAATGGATAAGTAAACTGTGGTCTACCCATATGATGAAATATGATTCAATGATAAAAAGAAATGAATCTTAAATGCTTGTTTCTAAGTGAAAAAAATAACTTCGAAAGGCTGCATACTGTATAATTCCAATTACATGATATTCTGGGAAAAAACTAATGGAGATGATAACATCTGTGTAGATAGGAGTTCAGTGTGAGGGGTTGACAAGGTAAAGCATAGGGGATTTTTTAGGCTGTAGAACCTATGCTATAGGATTCTATAATGGTGATTATGAAACATTAAGTTGTTTTTAAAAGTTATAGAACTTTATAGTAAAAAGAGGTAATGTACACAGATTTTTAAAATATCTTTTGTGAAGTTTTGGGATTCCAGGGTAAAATATAGACTATTTCAAGAATATCTAAATACGTTACAAATGTACAAAACGACTTCAGCCAAGGAGGTGGGGTAATAACATGCTAACCTAAGTAATGTTGGAAATGAGTCTATAAGACTACAAGCAATAAGAACAGTGAGCTAGTTGATCAAGTTGTTCCCCATGATAGTACAGATTAACAACAGTCTTGAAAATGCTATTCATGTATATTGATATTGAATAATTAAGTTTACACACATATTTCTCACGTGTTCTTTCTACTAAGAGGGTCTAGAAACAATCACACCCCCAGGAGCAACAGACATGGCTAGTGCCTCGGGCTTGGTTTCTATATCATTCTCCAATAAAAGGAACCTGGACTCCTTGGAGAAATAGTTGATTCCAGGATTGGGGTAGAAGATATTAAAGATGAACCTGGAGCCTCTTATAATGCCCCAAAGAAAGAAAGTGCTAAAAAAAGAAACACAAAAAATTTTTTAAAATGCACACAACCATGGAGTATATAAAACGGATACAGGTGTCAACCAGAAAACTTCCAATGGCAAAAGATGCAACAATTTGAGCAAGAAAACAAAGAAAATGTCATTGGATTATAATTCGAAGTATAAAATTAATAACCATTCTGATATAAATAAATAAACAAAAGTAAATAGAATAAGTAAATAAATAAGTAAATGAATAAGTAAATAAAATAGGGAGAATGGAAACATCCCATTTAAATAGGGCTGTACCTGTCAGTGGGTGGGGCACCAGCCCCATATACCGAGGGTGGTGGGTTCGAACTTGGCCCTGGCCAAACCGCAACAAAAAATAACCAGGCATTGTGGTGGGCACCTCCAGCTACTCAGGAGGCTGAGACAAGAGAATCGCCTAAGCCCAAGAGTTGAGGTTGCTGTGAGCTGTGTCGCCACAGCACTTTACTAAGGGCCATAAAATGAGACTCTATCTCTTAAAAAAAAAGAAAAAGAACTTCAAATAATTTTTGTACATACTCTGCCCTTAAGCAGATCACAACTGCCTCTTCCTTAAGTGGGGGCTGCACACAATGACTTTATTATGGAAAGGGAAGCAAAAGGGTAAATTTACAATGGAGAGGCCTAACAAACACTACCTGAAGGCAGGTGAGAAGAGTAAACTTCAGGAGTGATAAGTCATAGTGATAAGTATATGTGCTTGGCATGATGTGATAATAATAATACTGACTTCTGTAGTCTTCCCCCCCAAATTCCTAAACCCAATATAATCATAAGGAAAAACATTTGGCCAATTCCATTTGAAAGGCATTCTGCAAAAGACCTGACTAGTGCTCCTCAAAACCGTTGAGATCATCAAAAATAAGGAAAGTCTGAGAAATTGCACAAGTAAGAGGAGCCGAAAGAGACCTAACTACTAAATGTGATGTGTACCCTGTATGGTATCCTGGAACAGAAAGAGAACAGTGGAAAAAACTAAAGAACTCTGAATGAAGTATGGGGTTCAGTTAATAATAATATACCAATATTAGAAATTGGACATGGGATATATGTGAAGTCTGTATTATCTTCACAATTTTTCTGTAAATCTCAGATTGTTCTAAAATATAAATTTCATTTTATTACATTCTACACAACACCTTTGACTGTTTTCTGGCTTCTCATTTTTAATTATCGATCCTCACTGCTTTGTAAAGGGTAGAATATTGATGGTGCCATGGCCAAGAGTATGTGACTTCGAGCTCTCTGCCCTTCTAAATGTCTGTTATTCTGACTCCTTTGCACCTACGTTTTCTATTGGTTTTCCTAATACATTTAATCTGATAAGTTTCACTAACAATAACCTACAATATTCTAGAAATGAAAAAAGATAACTTACCGCAGCAGCTCTTGGTTTTGAAAATTCCTAAAAATCCAGTTGCTCTAGTTTCTATGCTAACACGACCTCCATCCTCTGTCCCACAGCCAGTGTCCAGAAGGGTACATCTGTGTGAAGGCTGGTCGAAACCCCAACTATGGCTACACAAGCTTTGACACCTTTAGCTGGGCTTTCTTGTCTCTATTTCGACTCATGACTCAAGACTATTGGGAAAATCTTTACCAGTTGGTAAGATCCAAATTAGTGTGCTCAGGATTTATTTTTATGATCACATATGAAATGACAAGTGCGGATACTTACAACACTCTGCAGGACAGAGTAGCTAGAATCCTAATTGATAGACGAGAGAGAAGTTTGTTTCATGAAAGGCATTCTGCTAGAGGCTATAGGGGATGCAAAGAACGTTCACAACTTTGAGGAATTATAATCCAGTTGTGAAGATAAAAACAACGTGTTAAAAGATTTTTGAAATCAATTATATACAAGTTTCAAACTAAAGCTATAATTAATTGAGTCTAGAAGAGAGAGAGAGAAAGATATCTCCAGATGGCATGGAGAACGGACTACCATGTAAGTGGAACTCCATGGGCAGGAAGCAAAGAAAGATATGGTGCTCTCACTTGTAATTTTGCCTGACATTATGCACCTTGATAAAAATATTTTAGTGAGGCTCAAATATATATCTAATATATACTATTTGAAACATGTTTATATCAAATAACACTGTAGTCAAGCTTTAAATAATTTTATTGTTTTTGTATATTGAACATTTTAACACCAAAAATATCTCGATAGAAATAAATTAGATATTAAAAAGCATCAGTTTCAGCTCAGTACCCGTAGCACAGTGGTTATGGCACCAGCCACATACACCAAGACCGGTGAGTTTAAACCCAGCCCAGGCCAGCTAAACAACAATGATAACTGCAACAAAAAAATAGCCGGGCATTGTGGCTGGTGCCTGTAGTCCCAGCTACTTGGGAGACTGAAGCAAGAAAATCTCTTAAACCCAAGAGTTTGAGGTTGCTGTGGGCTATGACACCATGGCATTCTACTGAGGGCGACTTTGTCGCAAAAAAAAAAAAAAAAAAAAGTAGCATCAGTTTCCTGACTAACTTTGGTAATCAGGTCAGACCATTATTCTAAAATATTCACGGAATTATTCCTTTTTGTTCCCTAGACGTTACGTGCTGCTGGAAAAACGTACATGATATTTTTTGTCCTGGTTATTTTCTTGGGTTCTTTTTATTTGGTGAATCTAATCCTGGCTGTGGTGGCCATGGCCTATGAGGAGCAGAACCAGGCCACCTTGGAAGAGGCAGAACAGAAAGAGGCTGAATTTCAGCAGATGCTTGAACAGCTCAAAAAGCAACAGGAAGAAGCTCAGGTACTGGGTGTTGATAACAAAGGCTTATTATTATTTCTTGTTTCTGGGTAGCAATATTGTTCTACCATTGAGGTCAAATTGGAATTGGCTTTTCATTTTGTCTTCAAGCATTGTCATTAGAAGAGAAAGCTATTCAAACTCAAAATTGTTTCTGAAGTTGTGATAAAAAGAACTTTTCAGACATTATATATAAAGAAATCAGCTGGGTAGAAAACAGGTGGGCCTAGAACACATCAGGAATAAGGTTTACTAGGCAATCATCTTATGGAAACTAAGGGGAAAATTAATTTTTAGTTTAATTTAAAAAAGAAATATAGCTGACATTTCCAACTGTTCATGTTTCACTTTTAATTATGACATTGAGATTTTATTCTAAAGTTAATTGATCTCCAATGTTAACAAAAATGCTTTATAGCTTTGGTGAGCCATTCTTTGAGATTTCTGTAGTACAAAAGGTATTTGTGGAAGCCCATGTCCGGATGTCAGGGTGGTATCTGAAATATGGGGCCTTCATGTATTAAGAAGAGAGGGAAGCACAGTAGTGCATTAAAAGAGGAAAAAACTCCATAAATTCAAAGGTGACGATCTTGGAACGACATATAACAATCTAATTCATAGCATTTTATTTCCTCTATATTTGTCAATATTTGTATGGTCAGCCATTTTAACTGTAGTCATTCTAAGAAGTATGTCTCTGCTGCTTTAGTTCTCATTTTTCCTAATTACTAATAAAGTTCAGCATTCATTTCTAAGTGGCTTCTTTTATGAAGTGACATTTCAAATCTTTTGCCCATGTTTTAAGTTTTTTTTTTTTATTCTTGAAACTTGAGTGGGGTTTATTTGTATTCAAAGTGTGAGCTCTTTATCATATATATGCCTTACAAATATTATCTCCCATCTGAGACATACCTTTTTGTTTTCCTAATAATATGATTTAAAAGCAATACTTTTTAAATTCTAACGAAGTACAGTTTGTAAAATTTATTATTTTTTTGGCTTTTTAAAAAAAAATCATGCTTTTGGTGTTACATCTGAGAAGTTTTTGCCAAACCAACACCAGAAAGATTTTCTCCTATATTGTCTTCTAATGTTGTATAGTTTTGTTTCTCCTATATTGTCTTCTAATGTTGTATAGTTTTTGTTTTACATTTGGGTCTGTGACCTGTTTTAAGTTCATTTTTGTGTAAAATATGAGTAATGTGATGAGATTCACTTTGATGTGTGTATGATTATGTATGTATCTAATTATTCCAGCACCATTTGTTAAACAAAATACTCTTTCTCCACTAAATTTCCTTTAAACCTTTGTCAAAAATCAGTTATCTGTGTGTGTGTGTGTGTGTGTGTGTGTCCATTTCTGGCCTCTATTCTGTTCAGTTGATTTATCTGTCTCTTTACACCAATATTGTAGTTTACAAGACTTGAAATCTGATCATGTAGCTCATTAACTTTATTTTGTTCTGTTTTTCAAAGTTGTTTTAGCTATTCTAGGTCCTCTTTAGCTCCGTATGACTTTTAGAATCAGTTCGTGAATTTCAGTCTGGATGGTTTTTATTGCTGTGGGTTCAAGTTTATCATGTCTTCTGTAGCATCTGTAATCTTCCATTAATCTCATCCAGTAACATTTTCATCCTAGACATTATGGTTTTTATATCTACTAGCTTGACCTGCCTCTTTTTAATACATTGCCCATCTCTCTAATTAACATTTTGAACATGCACAATGCAGTAATAACAGCTGTTTAGATCCTTGTCTGCTGATTCTACCATGTGTGTTGGTTCTTGGCCAATTTTGATTAATTTTTCTCTTTATTATAGGTAATCTATTCCTGTTTTTCTTATATTCCTGACAATCTTCGGTTGAATTCCAGACATTGTCAATTTTATATTTTAGGGTACTGGATATTTTTGTAGTCCTATAAAAATTATTGATCTTTATTTTGGGGCACAGTGGATTATTTTTTATCTTCCAATATTTTAAGATTTTTTTCAGTAAGATCAGAGCAGCATTTAGTTTAAGGTAACTTATTCCCCAATGTTGAATGAAGACCCTTCCAAATACTCTCCCCAGTTCCCACTTAAAATGAAGTCCCTTCCAGGTGTAGCCATTAGGAACAGGCAACATATTAGCACAGTATGCATGTTGGGTCCTGTTCCCTCTAATCCTCAGGTGGCTTCCTAACATACAAGTCTGATAAATATTCTTCTCAATACTCAAAAGGGGTCCTTAGATGACCTGCAGAGTTTTCTCTCTGTTCACTGTTTCCACCATGGGACTCTGTCCTGTCAACTACGGCCTCCCTGGTTTCCCTGGCCTCTTAGTTTCATCTCCTCCACTCTGTGTCTAGAGATACTCCCTTTGAACACCATAGTCTGAAAATTCAAGGCCATAAGCTAAGAAAATCGTGGGACTTGCTTTCCTTTTTTCTCTTTTCCTACTGTATCGTGACATTCTGATTAGATATTTGATTTCTTCGAAATCAGTGTTATGTGTATTTTGTCTGTTTTATTGGTTGTTTCAGGAGAGAGGCAATCTGGTCCCTTTTACTCTATGTTGGCCAGAAGCAAAAGTCCAAATAATTTTTTACATACTTTTTTGCAATTTTTTTTAGATGAATGGTTCCAAATACTTGAAGTATTGTTTGAATGACAATATATACTTGGAATTTTTATGTTCAAAATGTGAGTTTTTAACAATTCTGAGTTACTTTAAAGGTATACAACATATAACATTGGTTCTTGGCCAATTTTGATTGATTTTACTTTTATTTGAGGCATTTTTTTGGTGAATATGGATAAATAGCAATGAGTTGCTTAGCTATTTATTGAGCTCAACAATAGACTTGGCATTTGCTGAACATTCTGGCTTTGCTATTTTCATCTTACCACTGACTACAGAATAGTAACAACATGGTTATATTTTATTGAGTTTATAAAGGAAAACTCTAAACAAACTTAGTAATACTTAAAAATCTTGTAAAATATGTGTATGTTCCCTTATGTTTGCCAGAAAGGTCTACTATATTTCCATTCTACAGGAGTTTTATTTCTTACCACTACAAATAATACACACTGGTAAAATAATGAAATAAAATAGCTATGTCTGGGGCAAAACCTTTTTTATTTCAAAGTTTTCAATAAATCTTAAAGGAAATACTATTTATACACTACATGTAATTATATTTTAGAATGCTGAGTTATTGTATTATCATTTATAAAAGCAGACAAAGTATTGTGCTTGAAAATGCTCCTCAGATAACAGGACTAAGTTTGTTATGAAACGCAGCCACTTTCAGGTAAAACATGTCACCAATTAAAAGAGTATAATCTTTTCTAACTTAGGAGTCAAAGTATGCTGTCTAATAAGCATATACGGAATATAACTATCTATATCATGATTATATCAGTTAAAACAAAACAAAACAGTTGTTACTTAATAGTCAGTTATTGGATTCCAGTGACCAAATCATCATGATCAGACTCAGCTTTAGCGTTATACACACAACATTTAAATTGATCCAAGATAAAGCATTTTAATACTGATTGAGATAACACAGTTCCAAATCTGTTTTAGATACTTATTGACAACACAGGATATGATGACCAGTAAATAGGCAGTGTTGAAACAGAAGAGAAAGTTAGAGGCAGATTGAGAGAGGGAGAGAGACAGAACATTTCCAAGGTCATCCACACTGCAGTGAAGCCTAAGTCTTGCTAACCACCTATGACTCTTCCCCAGTTACTGTCTGGCCAATGACTTCATGAAACCTAGCATTTTTATTTAATGTCTGTGAGGGGGCCTCCCAATGCTAGTCATTGTGCAGACATGGAAAAAATGACATGGAGAAGACAAACTCTACAAAGAAATAAGTTTTGTGCCAGATCATCTGAATTGTGTTTAGGTTTTAATTTGTGATCTTCAAATGCTTAACAGTTCCTAGCTTAGCATATTCCATAGCAGTCTGCATCGGTCTATAGAAAAAAGTTTAGGAGCAAGCATTAGGGCAAAATTAGGAATAGTGGCATTTAAGAGCTCTAATATAATGAGGAGGTAGAACTGAAACAGTTAGTTATAGTTCATGTCTTGTAGAATTGAATGCGATTTTAACTGGATTTTATGTGGAAAATGAATGATGAGTCATGTGGTTATATCTTTATGGACATACACATATAGTGAGTTATATAGCCTATTTTGAATCCTACAGAAAATTTATAAGAAAACATTATTCTCTATATAAATATTAAGCACAACTTTGTTATTTGTACAAGAGGAATGTATCAAGTTGACTGTGCAAGTGAGACTATTATCCTAAGTAAGCAGGATGCTGGCAGCATCACTGACTTGGGTATAAACAGGTACACAACATGAGAGATGACAGGAAACATCTGCCTTGGAGGGAATCAGCAAATCACTGGAAGTGGAACAAGTGACAGATTTAAGTTGATGAGTGACACAGAAAATGCGTTGTGTCGGAGGTTACCTTTGTTGCCTTAGAAAACTGTTTTGGTTTTGAGTTATCTGAACGGTATTCAGAATAGGTAGGGAAATCATGTCTTATGCAAAACAAAGTTCGGAAGTGATTTAAATGAACATAAGTTTCAGAATTATGGTAAGGAAATGTGACCACCACTTCCTCTGTTTCTAGGGACAGGAAGGTCAATAAATAACACTGAGTGTTGTGTGTATTCATAGGACATGGAAAGGAGAATTAAGGATTTTATTTGGATAAAAAAAGAATATATTTTCAACAAGTGACTTATATTATGCACCTCCTATGTACTGTGTAATGGTATTTAACTTGCTACAGACATAAATGCTTCATTTATTCACTTTTTAAAATATATAGTCACACTTATAAAGGATCCTTAATATTTATCATCTCTCATCATGGATTACATTAGAAGCGATACTGATCAAGAATTCAAGAAAAAATATCTTGCCATATGATTATAGCAAATTTTTTATATATAAATTCTGATTAGTGTTTCATCTCAGTGCTGAGTGTTGTCTCATATTTGGATTTCCATAATGAATATAGTGCTTGATATCAACAAATATTGGTGTCACCTTTTACATGTTGCGTAGATCAACACGTAAATGGAGTTCTATACCTAGTACCATGGTGCTCTCCCTGAGGTCATTTTCATCCTAGAGAATTCATAGCATAGTACCTTTAGTTTTTAAACCTTTCAAAACAATGTTAGTTAATATGAGATTCAAAAACAGAAGCAACTGAGGAGGATTTGTTTTATCTCAAAAAAGGAGAAACAAAGCTCAAAGTGTTAATGAGAGCATCATTAAGGGATTTTATCTTTATGCCCTCTTGTTGCTGTTATCATGTATAGACTGTTTTGACACATGGTCTTTTATGAGGTCTGAGCATGTCTTGACCTCCCCCTACCTCTACTGCTGTGTCCGAGACAATTGACAGTAATTTTTTTTTTTTTTTTGAGACAGAGTCTCACTTTGTCACCCTGGGTAGAGTGCCATAGGGAGGCATCGTAGCTCACAGCAACCTCAAGTTGCTCAAGTCATTCTCTTAATTCAGCTTCCCAAGTAGCTGAGACTACAGGTGCCCACCCTTACTCTTGCTCAGGCTGGTCTCGAACCAGTGAGCTCAAGGCAATCCACCCGCCTCACCTTTATTCACCAGTCACTTACTGAGTCCTTTTATATCAGGTAATAGAAATACCAGGCACTGCACATATAAATAATGATCCAATTCTTATCTACCTTACAGTTGAGGTGGAAGATAAACAACATGGTAGATAAATTAGGTTTATTTGTATTCAGTAATGATATATGTAAAATGCTTAATTAAGATGCTCATAATAAATTATTTCCACTTCTGTGGTTATGTCTAAAAACAGGAATATACCTAATGCAAACTCAGCTTTGATATGTACCATATTGTTCTTTCATATCCTTCCTACATCATGATGAGATCATTTCCAGTGTAAAAATACTATTCATTTAAACGAAAGTACAGCACACCTTCAAGTTGGCTGGGTTTTGTGAATAGGCTCAGAAACTGCAAATCCTTTAAATTACTTAGTTCTGAAATGTTGAACAAGTTGGAAGACATTCTCAGAGCACCTTGCATGATCATTTCAGGAATTTATTGATTGATATTTTAATCACTGATATCATTTATAGTAATAAAAATAGTTTTTGAACGTTAAAATGTTTTAAACTTAAACTGCTTTATAATAAATTCTCTGGAAATAACATGACCTCAGAGATATGATCCTAAATATAATTCAAATGAAAAACCAGGATAAACTAGCCCAAAAGTCCCCACCACTTCCATTTAGCGGTAAAATGATAAACACTTTAAATGTCTTGAGGCCATAAAAAAGAAAAGAAAAAACCTTTTGTTCCTGATTTAGAGGAGAAAAATACTATGGTGCTGTTCACAGTTGCCCAAGAAGGAAAAATCCTGTTGATGAAACTGGTTAGAGAAAGCAACCACCAAGAGAAGTTTTGCTTTTTAAAGTATAGAAGATACTTCTGAGAAAACAAGTGTCCTCTGAACAGAAGATAACCTCAAGGTAGTTAAAAAGAAAAAGAAGCCAATCAGGAGATACACAAAGCTGGGCTTTCCTCACGTTATGCACAGGCAGCATGTTGCTTTATGCCATTTAAAGTGTAAGGGTGATTATTATTACCATATTCCCCTGAAAATAAGACACTGTCTGATATAAGAAGATACACTAGGGCTTATTTTCAGGGGATACCTTATTTTTATTAAGTATAATACAACAATCTACATTTATTCAAATACAGTTAAGTCATCTTCTTCTGGAACCTGACAGGGGGAGCTGTCCTTGTTGGTGGGGCTGGTGCTAGTGATGCGTGAACTCCTTTCCCCTAGCCGTTCACACGTGCACAATAGGATGCCTGTGACTGCGGTTACCACATGTGTGCAAATGGCTCAGAGAAAGGAGCTGTGGCAGATAAAAGGTATTCCAGTTTTCCTTACCTCTCCCTGCCAAAATGCATAGCATGGCTATGCAGACATGTTGCATAGCCACACCCATGACTAGGTCTTATTATGGGGGTAGGGCTTATATTTAACAAATGCATAGAAATCCTGCTAGGGCTTATTTATTGGGTAGGTCTTATTTTCGGGGGAAACATGGTAAGTAAACTCTTACAATAAGACAGAATGAAAGCATTAGAAGACAAAACGGTGACATTTGTACCATAGTCCACTGTTTCAAAGTTCCATGTTCTAAATAGTGTGTGGCTTTGTTTTACAACAGGCAGTTGCGGCAGCATCAGCTGCGTCAAGAGATTTCAGTGGAATGGGCGGGTTAGGAGAACTCTTGGAAAGTTCTTCAGAAGCATCGAAGTTAAGCTCCAAAAGTGCTAAGGAGTGGAGGAACCGGAGGAAGAAAAGAAGACAGAGGGAACATCTGGAAGGAACCCACAAAGGAGAAGGAGACAGGTTTCCCAAATCTGAATCTGAAGACAGCGTCAGAAGGAGAAGCTTCCTTTTCTCCATGGATGGGAACCGACTGAGTGGCGACAAGAAATTCTGCTCTCCTCATCAGGTAAATGTTCTGGCTTCTCTGTCGTCGTTTTTGCTTTTTAACTGCTACATTTTTTTTTTTGTTCCGTTTTTTTATTTTTTGTTTTCGTTGGGGACCGGGGACTTACCTTTAGTATAGTTATGTAAATTCCTATCATAAACTATCTTTAAAAGAGATTTTCTATTAAACCATTAAAAACTTTTCATCTAAGGTATTCAGCTTTAAACATTTTCAATTTTGAGACCATGCTTCTCTTTTCACTTTTAATACAACCTACTGTCAGATTTTTCAGTTCAGAATCTCTTGTTTATGTTTTTCCTTTTGAGACCTCAGATAAACTTACCTTCCTGGTAAATGGGTTTCTGCCTTTATCTTCTGAGGCTGTGAGTATATCCTATGTATAAATTTTGAAAAGAAATGTCTCTTTGGATTTTGCCATCATCCTTTGATATGAGTACTACACTGTGTTGAGTCTCCATTATTCTGGTTTAGGGTCATGCCACGATACAATAGCATGAAATTGGGACCTAAATGCCCTTTAAGAGAACAGCACTGAAAGTGTTCTGGTTTTGCTCTGGTTTATTGCCAACTACCCGGTTCTTCAGCCATATTTTCAAGTAAAAGAGGAAAAATAAATTTCAACTCTTTGTTGTTCAGTAAATATTATGGTTTAATAAGTTGATATATTTTTTATATTTGCAGAATGTAAAAACAATTAATTATGAAATCTTTGATAAACATAGTTAGAGCTTTGAACACTATTTGGTTCCATTAGAATTTTATGTGCTATGAATTAAAAAGTCTTCTAATCATATTAATCTGAGTCAACATTATATCCTAAAAATACTTTGAGAGATACTCTATTGTTTAATTTAAATTAAAATATCATATATCAAACAAAAGGTATAATACCCTTTTTACAAAGAAAAACATTTTTTAAAGTAGAAGTGATAAACATAAAATTTGATACAGTATTTAGCTCTGAGTTGGGAGGAAGGGGAATCTTTCAGTAATGAATCTTATCAGTAATTATTTATTTTATAATTTATATTTCGTATGGAAATAAAAAATATGTAAAGAAAATATATTAATGATTTAAAACTAGTATTCTTATTTTAGCACAAAATAGACATCAACTCACAAGGCGTTATAAGATTAAAACCATTTTAGATAAAATGGTTTAAAAACCATGTAAGATAATATCAAGAGATTTAATAACTATCTTGAATAATGCAAATATATAATATGATATTATGTCAAGATAACACATTTGGGATTAACTGGAAGATCTGGCAATTCAGTTTCTTAAAGCTTTTTTTTAAACTTAACCTGTCACCCTTGATATTCTGTCATTCTTAAAACTATTAAGGGTTATTAGGATTGGAATATTTGACACTATGACAAACGTTTGCGTGTGTATCTCAACTCTAAACTAGTTCTGTGACCTTGGCAAAGTCACTTGTACTTTGTAATGTTTCTGTAAAATAAGGTAATAATGTCTAATAGAGTTTTGAGGGGCTAAGCAATATATAGAAAATTTATGTTTTTAAGAGACAATGAATTTCAGTTTTAAAAGGGTGAATGCATTCTAAATGAGTGAACAAAACTTTGAGTTGTTTCAATTACTCACAGGTGGATGTGCACAGCAGTGATAATGACACGAACATATTTACTTGAATTTGATGACAGTATTATTTCCTTTGTTATTTTATCATGGTGCTTGGATGAAAACATGTGACTGGTTTATTCAGTAATAAATATTTACTGGTCACCTACTGCAGAGCAGGAATTGTTCTACATGCTGAAAATACCTCAATGAGCCAAAGAGATGTAATTCACTAACTCACGGAACTTTTTCCTAAAGGAGGAGACAGACAATGAGCAAATAAATAAGTTATAGACTGTGCTAGAAGGCCAGAAGTGTAGACAGCAAACAACATAAAGACCTTATGACTCTGTTAGAAGGTGATAGAGCTGTAGGAGAAAAAAATAAAGTAGGAAAAAGGGAAGAGGAACCCTAACAGGAGGTAAGCTTCTAACTAGGGTGGTTTAGGATAGTCTCTCTGTGAACTAGACATTTTGGCAAAGATTTAGAGGCAAAGGAAGGGACTGTCTTACAGAACAGCATTCCAGGATGATGGTAAAGAAAGCACAAGGCCCTGACAGGGTGGCGTGGCTGAAAAGCTCAAGGAGAGACTGGTGGGCCTGGGTTGCTGGGGTTGAATGAACAACAGAGAGGCAAAAGCAGAGAGAGGTTAGATGGTGGCCAGAGTTTTATACTTAAAACAGAATCAGGGCATACATGGGTCAGGTAGTTCATTGTGTATTTGTGGATAAATAGAGGATAAATAATTTCAAAGATAAAAGAAATAACCTGTAAGCATTCGATCTGCCTGTCTCCGGCAGAGAACATTAATGGAACTCACAAGCAGATATATGCCAGAAGCCTCTCCATGGTGGGAAAGAATCAGTGAAGGGGGTGAGGACAGGAAGCACATGATAGATGGGGAATACTGTTCAGAACAGATGCATCTTCCGAAAATGTCAAAGCAAAGAGCATAGATTATAAGCCTGCTTTCTACTAACATAAATTTTTTAAATGTTATTTTATGTTTATTACGTTATTTGTTTTATTACAATATTTTATTTTAAGGAGATAATACAAGTTAATAGTACCAAAAAAAAGTACTTTAAGGTGTATAATGAAAACGTAAAATGAGAAGTATTGTTAACAAATACTCACTTCATGTATTTTTCCGAAAACATCGTTAAATTCCTCACACCTTCTCCCATCTTGACTGTTCCCAACTCACTCAGAATCCAAGCCCTACATTCAGGATTGTGTCTTACAGGCCCCATTTATTCTATTTTTTCTTTTGTTACTGAAAATTAAGAAAAAGCCTATATTTATCTTCCTGCAACCAGATTAAAAATATAGCATGCCTGAAGCAAGGAAATATGCCTTTCAATCCTCAAATTATAAAAACTGGTTTTCCCTGGAGAAACTGTTGCCACAGCTGTGGGTATTCCCTCCACTCCGCTGCATCTTCTAGGGAGATATTTTTGGTTTATTTTCTCTGAATACTATTTTTGTTATCTTCTTTTTCTGTCTCTGTTGCCTTGAAAGCTGTGCTCACACCCATTATTATACATTCCAAAGAGTGAATAGAAATTTCAAATAAACTCAAAGATCTGGAATGCCTTTGAAAATACCCTGGCATAAAAATATGCAAATTAAAGGCATGTACCAAATACATTATGGATGTACACACTTACCATCTACCATCAACCAATACTGTGTAGGCAGATTTTCAGTTTCCCGAGACAGTTTCTGAACATAGGTATATTAAAGTGATTACACTGAATAAGCCTATGGATCCCTCTGACGGTAGGCTTGGTTCACCTATGTTAAAACCTCCTGAAACAAGTGTGGAAAATTCAGATTCCAGAGTCCTACCCCCTGCTCGCTGAATCCCAATTCCAAAAAGTGGGACATAAAAATATGTATTTGTAACCCTCAGAGTGATTCACATACACACTAAAGTTTCAAAATGCTAGTTCTGAATATAATATTTATAATTTAAACTGAATCTGAAATAAAAGTATTAGCATTCCTTATTGATGAAGGGGTGATTTAATGTCTTCACATGGTCTAATGTTTTGGTCACTTTGCTGAGAAATCAGTCACCTGTGCGGCACTCAGTAGACAGACCTGCTACAAGAATTGAATGTCACATGGACATAGTCTCAGGTTGGACAAGCAGGACGGCTAGTAGCTGCCATGGAGCATCTAACCAAATCAAAGGAGGAGTGTGCTTCTCAATGAGTAACATCTTGCCAGAGTATCACTGAGACGGAGGGCAACAAAGATTATTCTGGTACTTTGCAGTCTGGGAAAAGCCATAAAAATAAAGCTAAAAATGGGCCCTAAGAAAATCAGCATGACCTAATTAGGCAGAGGAACCAAAAATAAATTTGCTAGAGCCTGCCTTTGCTGGGGTTTTTTTCCACTAAGGTTACTTGATTTGGTTTTACACGAAAGCTTAGGAGGAGAAAGGGAGGTCCAGCCAGGCACAGAGGCTCACACCTGCAATCCCAGCACTCTGGGAGGCTAAGGCAGGTGGACTGCCTGAGCTCAGGAGTTTGAGACCAGCCTGAGCAAGAGCAAAACCCTCATCTCTGAAAAATAGCAAGGTGTTGTGGCAGGTGCCTCTAGTCCCAGCAACTTGGGAGGCTGAGGCAAGAGAATCGCTTGAGCCTAGGAGTTTGAGGTTGCTGTCAGCTATGACGCCACAGCACTGTACCAAGGGTGACCAAGTGAGACTCTGTCTCCAAAAAAAAAAAAAAAAAAAAAGAAGGAAGGAAAGAAAGGGAAGGTCCAGGAATGTTTGCTACTAGCCTCTATGTGTGTGCCTATGTATACATACCGATGTAGATTCCCTTAGCTGTGAAGACAGGTAGAGAAGGGAATGAGAGACCAAGGAGAGGACCCTGGGAGGAATTAAACCATTAATTAAACCATTAATGACGAGGGAACAAAACAAACAGAAGAGTGTGTTTCTAAAACCATCTTCAAGATTAGAACAAGCACATAATTATTTGTTGTTGCTAGTTTAAAATCCATTCAGAATGCGATAGTAAGAGCGTTAAGCTATATGATCATTTTCAGGTACTAGAAAACAGTTTACTGGATTTATATAGGAATGTCTGTAATAAAAAAAATTTTGAATCTCCTAGTTCTCTTTAGTGTAATTAACATGAATTTAGAAGAAGAAACGTTCTTCTACATCATCTTCTTTGGTGAAGTCATGTTCTCTGCCATGCTTTTTAAAGCTTATGTTAAATTTTAAATAAGAATAGTGATTTATGAGACAGCTTAGGAATCTTCTGTGTTGTGTTTGCTATGACATATACTCTCACGAATAAGGTGACTCACTCGTTGCCATTTGGAAAACTGTTAGCAAATTGAGAAGACAACATCACAGGTAAGTTTCGTGACCTTCTCATGTGGATAGAGACAAACAGTTCCAGAGAAAGAATAAACTCATTTCCTGTCAGAATCCAAAAGAAGAGAATGGAAAAATAATACTTTTTAAAAATCAATTAACCAGAAGTAAAATATTATCTAGAAATATTTTATATTTGAGCCAATCCTCTCACTTGAGCCAAAACTTGTTGTCCAGGTTGCATGCCCTTCAGCGCACAGCATTGAGAAGAGGAAGCCGTGTGCTAGTTGTTTAAGCACCACTCCCACCAAAGAATTATTTGTCCCCTCCTGCATCCGGTCCCTCCACTCTAGCACTAGGGTAACTCCATCAACCTAACAATATGGAAGTGAAAATTAAATGGAGTGGTTGTGTATACCTAGTAAATAGCAAATAGCAGGATTCTTAGTCAGAAAAATACTCTTTATACTTAAAATTGCTTTAATAAAAATATCAAAACATGTGTGTCCTCTACATAAAAGCAAGAGTCTT